TTTTCTCCCCCTTCCTTCCCCCTCCTTCTACAACAGCTTGAATTCCTGTATTCTGATTAAGATAGATGGAGTATTTGCATCCTATCCATATTCATAATCCTTCTTTTCAGTGTCAACCCAAAATACCACATTTGTTGCCGGGGCAGACACATGCAATGTCTTCAGAAGGTTTTGCATAGATGGATAAGGACACATCCCTTTTCAAATTTTTCAGAATAGGTGGCCACTAGGTGAATTCATGCTGTTTAAGTGCTAAGAGACCAGAACAAAACCTATGTCTTTTGTGTGTGACAGAAACTGTAATTAATGATTTCTTCCTTTTTTTCTAAAGAGAAAAGGGAGATGTGCTGTTGACAGGCATTTTATTAATGGTTTCTACCATCTTAGTATATATAAAAGGCATTATTGGTTGCAGTGCTAGTTTAAAAGAATTTTCTTCCCCCCTTTTTTTTTTTTTTTAGGAAATGTTGAAGATGTTTCATGGGTGAAAAATGAAGGCAATCTGTCCGCTGCCACTGAAAGTTTGGGTTTCAATAATAAAATTGAAACTATTGTGACAGTTCCTATTGTATCCTTTAACCATCTGCCTCCTGCTGGCACAATCAATGATGGCGTCTGCAGGGACATGGTCACCCTTACCTAGATTTTCTCTTATTTCAGCAACAAAACCTGTCAATACCACATCTCATGGTTGCTCTTCTAAGAAGATTTATCAACCATCTAGGTGATGGTACTTATTATAGTGACTGCTGGTCTGTTGTTGCATTTGGAACCAATAGAAGATAAATATTCAGTCTGGCACACAAGAAATTAGCCATGCATTTTCCAGTTGCAACAAAGGCAGCTGACTGCCTAATCCAGAGGCCAGAGTAGTGGTGATTTACTCTTGGGCCTTGCCTATACTATGGAATGAAAGTGAATGAGAATAAGACAATATTGCATTTCTTTCTGAACTATATTAAGTAGGAGACTGTGACAATCTGGCCCACAATTCTTGAATTTGTGCTCATTTTCACTGGGTTACAAGAAAAAAAATAAATTGTGAAATATGCCAAGCAAAAAGCTGAAAATCAGAGGCCAAATCTTAATTCCATGTAAATGAAAGGTGGCAGGTTGACTGTTCAGATAGCGCTATGCTCATTTACACTGTCTAATGGGCTTCCCATTGCTTATGGACAGACAAGAAAACAGTCATTTGTCTAGGTTAGTACTTCTTCTGCAACACTTTGAAGAAATGTTTTGCTTTGCCACTGATTTGTGAACAACTTAATAACTTCTGTGAACAAACAAGAAGCAGACATTTACCATACGCATTCACAATAATGCAATCAGAAAACATGTTGGGAAAAGGATTTACAGCAGTTTGCACACTCCTCTCCAGAAAGAAACAACGAAGTAGCATAAAGCTCTCCCTATATTTTACTGAAGGTTTGCTGATATCTTAATTTTAAGCACATAACTTTTTTGTGACTATTTAGCTCAGCCTTACAACTGACAAGAGTGTTAAATAGAGCTGTACTAGTTAGTTAATATCTTCCCCTTCTCTAAGCAAACGTGTAATTCTTTTAATTCAGTTTTTCAAATTTCATTCTTAAAAGTCCTGGAAAATCTATGTTTTGGAAGGCTGCTAGAAATGCACTGTTTGCACACTGATCTGTACTAGCAGCCATTCATTTTCTCTGGGAATTTTTGTGTAAGCTCCCTTATTGGGAATATGCTAATGACATCCGCCATGATTACTGATTTTCTTTGAATCGTTATTCCTCTGTGGGCAAAGCAATCAGAAAGGGAGAACAGGAGATTTACTTTTTGCTTGTGTGCCTTCTTCAACCATCTGCTCTATCCTGATTCATTTGAATAAGATCTGCAGTTTTAGATTCTTTACTCTGGCATTCTGAAGCATTTTAAAGCTTAAAAGGAGTTAATAGTTATCTATCAGTGTCACAAACGTGGTACTGCAATGCATTCCAAGAGCAAGTTTGCCTTTGAATGGTTTACAGGGGCAGATTAATTTTATTAAAGTAAAAAATTACAATGTTCTTTAACAGCTTCATTATTTCAGACAAGTCTTTTGTGAGCACATTTATTATCTGGAGCATGGAGTATAAAAGCTGAAAGAAAGGGAACTAATTTATAAAGCAGGAACATTTTAAAGATGGAAATTGTTAATCTAATCCCCCCTCCCCCCATGGAAAAAATAGAGGGCAAAATTGTGATCAATTTAATGAAAATACAACCTTGTAAAATGCACTGCATTTACTGAATTCTTGTACCTGTTCTTTTACCTGTGTGGAATTTCTGAAGTACATTTACACAACGTCATTTTGATTTTAACAAAAGGTGCTATTTAGCTGTATCAAAATTCAATTAAATTGTTCTCTCAAATGAAGTACTAGCCTCATATAACAAGTTTCTCCATGCACAGTGATAATGATGTTCATGCTTTATTTTTTATTTTTTTTACAGGATGCCAGTTTTGTGCTGCTTTATATGTATATGACAGGTTTAAAGCAGCATTGCTGATTGCCAGAAGGCCCGTTTGTACAACGATAACAGAAAATAAGCAAAAAGACATTGTAGCAAGACAGAATTATGCACAGACAAATGCAGAGACAGCATTCAGAGGACTGTATTGAATGCTTTAGTGTAGTCTTTTCATAAGCAAGCAAACTTTGAAATGTTAAGGAAAATTAGTTGTTGGAATTAAAAATTCTTTATTTATTTCAGAAATACTGTTAATAAACACAAAAAGGCAGCCTCTCTAATTGGTACATAATGACTATAAAAATAGAGACCCTTTGAAAAAAAGTAGAGACAATCTTTAGATTAGCAGGCAGCATATAATGGTTTTCGAAGTGCAAGATGACTTGTATCGTTACCTTTGAAACCAGAAGCTAAAACTAATGCAAAATTATTATTAAAATGGAATAGTTTTCCAGTTTCTTTGGAGGTGCCACATTAAAACCTCTGCCTAATGTTTCTACTAGTTTTCTGGCAGCCCCTGTTGATTAGCATTCTGATTTCTCCTTATCTTTTTAAAAATAGAATGACAATGCAAAAAACTGAAATGGCAGTGACCTTCCTGCTAGAATTAGCTATCAGGAGCCACTTTCTATCAACTAACTTCAACTTCTTTCAGTGCTCTCAGGCAGAGAGCTGCAACTTGTGTGAAAAAGTGTAGTTACTTGAGAAAGGGTTTTTCTGTTCTCATTCAAATGAAGGGAACTTAGAAACACACTTTGTGTTTGCTTTTAATTAGAGGTGCAACTAAACTAAACCAAACCATAAATTACAGGGCTCACTGCAATTGTGACTTGGTTATCCTGGAGATTAGAAATTATGACTACAGTTTCTTTTAGTTTAAAGATGTATTCATCTCTGAAATTTCCTATTCCATATCGCATTAGAGACTGAAAATCCAGATTTAACTTTTATGGTGTTTTTTATAATCAACGTCAATGTGGTTCCATGAATTTCAAGGATTGGTCTCAACCTTATTTTTACTTTGATGTATTGTACAAAGCAAACACTTTTGAGAAACCTAAACGAAAACAGAAAGCAGAATTCTATCTTAATAATTCATAAGGCAAATTCTTAAAACCAAATTAAAGATAGGCAAGTAAGGAAATACAGAAGAGAAGAAATCAACATAGTCACCTCACTATTTTGCTGGTCAAGTGTACTAAAACCAAAACACATGTAGTGTGATATTAAATCCTTTTAATTGAGAAACATGTTTTCTTGTCTTACATTAGTATTTTTCTTTCTTCCTAATGAAAGAGTACCTTATTGCTAAAACTTTGTGCAATACAGCTTGCTTATTTCGTGATTAAAGCCACTTACCACATGAAGCTCTGGCTCTTTACACAACCTCACAGTGCAATAGGAATATTTTAGTCTCCTCCTCACTGTTCCTCTGTAGTCTTTCTTAAGCAGTTTTAGGCTCTTTATTTCTACTAAAAAAAACACATTACAACCAAGCATGATATTTCTGAAAAACAGTACCAAATGCTAATCCTTCTTGAAAAGCTGAGGAGAAGGTAGTATGTTTATTCTTGACAGAGAACTGCAGAGTATCTCCAACTGAAAGGTACAGTAATAACACCAGTTAATAGGCCCAGCCCACTCCCATATTAATGGCTGGCAAATCCAGGAAGGTCTACCAAGAACATTTAATCCCATTAAAAATACCACATTTACACTCCTGCAATGACAAATGTACAGAGTTCAGCTTTGGGGTATCTGGGGGAAAATGCAAAACCCCCCATGTTATCTCTCCATACGCTGCAAAGTCAGTCTACAGAAAACTTTTGGCCCCTGTTAAAACACTCAGCTCCTTAATACACAATTTGTTGTAGGCATTCTACATAGTCATAATCACATTAACATTTGAGCCCATCAAGATCTTTACAATTATTAACTCAAGCATATGAAATGACAGTGATAGGAATGAGACTTTGAATTTTTTATCCATTTTTGCTGCATATTTATTATATAATTTACCTAAACAAAAGAAATAGAAAAAAAAAAAGGGGAAGGGGGGGAGGAAAGAAAAATGGTTACGCTGTAGACCTTACCTGTTAATGAAACCTGCTGAACCCAAACTTTTACTTTTATCAATAGGCAAGTATTAGTTAATTCTTTTTACTACATTTTTTTTCTTGAATTTGAGGCAAATACATGAGGAGAATTTTCCATTAATTAAAAAAAAAACAAACCACCAAAAACCCCAAAACCCAAACACAACAAAAAATCCAGTATCAAGAGAAGCACCAGAAAATATTCAGATAAACTCTCTTGAAATCTCCAAATAAGATCTAGATATACTTGCTCTTTGGTGTCTCCATAAATATATGCGGATAATGTAGAATAATGTTCCTGTGGCCAGTCTAAAATAGTATGTACTAGTTTATGTTTACCTGTGAATTCTTTAGCATTCATATTGTAGACTGAGAACTATTCTTTGAAATTTCCTAAAAAAGATAGTGCCGCCATGGGTTAACATTGTAATAATTCATTTTCAGGTAAGTTTTGTTATATCCGTGAGAGTGGATATATACAGACTAGCAAGCTGCTGGCATAGCTGCATTCATATTCCTTTTCAGAATATACTGTATTTCTCATCTTTGCTATAAAATGGAAAAAGAATTTCCTTTCATTTGCATATGATGTTATTTGGAACTGTTAATCTATCATATAGACACAGTCAAATGCACCTTGTAATTAACACAAACTAAATTCATTGCACTTAGGTAGGATGCTTCTTGATGTACATGCCAGGCAATTGTTCATACAGCCTGCTCTGGAAGTTGAGAGCCTTTCATTTAATGCATACAATAAACCTAATGTGGTTTGTAAAAGAGACAGTTTTTCAAATAACCTGAAGAATGGAAGGTGGGGGAAAAAGACAGGAATAAAATTCTTGGTTTGCAATGCTTCAAAAGAAATGTTTCCCAGACAATATAACATACATATTTTTCTTATATTTTAAAAAGTTATGAATTGGTGACAAAAAAAAGACTTAATTCAGAATGTTTTGAATGGTCTCATAATTTGGGTCCAGTTCAGAGAAGATGAAAATTTTCTCACATTATATTTTTGGCAACTGCAGGACCCTCAATATGACAATTCCTCTGACAAAGGACAACATTTCTGCATGATGTATATACTATGCTCTTAAATTTCTGACATCTCTCAGCACTGAGATTTTCTGGTTTATGCAGCTGTAGAGATGTTTCCATAGAATTAATTTACGTACTATGCAGTTAAGTGCAAAGATTTTCTCCTCATCACATTCCAAAAAGTATTCAGTAATTCAGTTGAGTTGATGGAAGTTACACTTTTATGTACGTTACGGGCAGTCATTGACTAAGAAAGGAAACTCTGACTTTGGGAATAGTAGACAGATGTCAGGATCACTGACAACTTGAAGACACAGAGAACACCAGACACGACGTGTACATTTGTGACAGAAAACTTCAGTCCAGCAAAAAAAGGCCAGATATTGCAAACTTGATGAGATTTCTGTTAAAAGAAAACACAATTTGGGCAGAGTAAAGAAACTGAATAGTGTCCCTGTGCCTCTCAATTTATCAAACATCTACAATCTCTACAATATATTCTTGAAAATCCCTATGCTGACTATACAAAACCCTCATGTCATAAATACTGTGGTTAGCTAACTTAGCCAATAGGTGCATTTTAAATCCCAGCCATATGCTCAAAATACCTTTAAATCTAAACAATGAGAGGCAAAGGAGCAGAAACCAAAATGCTGCAGGAAAACAGGATTGAATTAATCATTAGCTATCACTCCTGTAGATTAATATACTGATCCATAAGCTTTCATCAGCTCCTAAAGAAATGGTTTGTATTTTCTTGAGTCATACACTACTGTAAAAACAAGGACAAGGAGGAGCCTCAACCAAGCTTTGTATGTGAGTTAATTAAGCTTCTGGAGTAATTGTCCTCTCATAAACCTCAATAGATTTCTCTCTGTTGCTTTCTCAGATACTGAATTCCCTAAGGATTTTAATTTCCTTCTCCAGTTCCTAATTACCGTACTCCACTCAGGTTCCGGTTATCTTGTTTTTCTTCTCTGAGTGCTGTTTTACTCCTTTCAGCTCCTTACTCCTCCTCCTTAGGATCTGGTTTCCCCATTCAAGCTGTTTTACATGTTATTCTGCAGAGTCATTTAGTACCTTTTTTTTTCCCTGATACTGATGAAAATCCTTCACTGTCCCTAGCAGACCAGATTTTGGGGTAAAAATAGAACACTGTTCTCAGCACTCTGGGTGGGTATTTTTTTTGTTGTTGTTTTGGTTTGTTTTTTTTTTCCCTCCTCCTCCTTCCCCCCCCCCCCCCCCATCAATTCAATAGTATTTCTGCACAAGCTAGCTTGTGCTTTGGGGTTATTTTGCTGAGAAATAAGCCCATCTGCTTACAAAATTTTAACAACATTACTTTTGGTGGAAATGCGCAGACCTAAGATCTGCAGACTGCATGAGCGTATAAACCTACAGATTAATTTATCTTTCTCCAGAATGACTTGAATGCTTCCTTCAAAACAAAGACTAAAATCAACAACAAACAAAAGCAACAAGAAGAAAGCAAAATCTCCAGTCACCCTGCAATTTCTTTTCAAGAACGGTACACTCGATATCATCTTGTCTCAAAACACGCTGGCTACGAAGTTTTGTTCAAAAACATCCTAGCAAACACTGCTTATAGAATAAAAGAACACTATACCTTTCATGGTACAAAAATCAAAGGTGGTTCTTCCTGCTACTGGTTTTACTCAGCAGTAAAGAGAAAACCTTGCAAGTGTTGTTTACACAGTACTAAATCCTTGTAAAGTCATACTGAAACAAGTCTGCTATCTGACCTAGCCCTTAGGGCTACTTAAACACCTGTGGATTTATAGAGTTCAGATGTCTACAAGGTCTGTGCTGAAGTTCATTTCCAAACCTGTGCCCCATGTGAAGTACTTTGTTGGCACAGTTAAGCCATTACTACTTGTTTCTGGTTTGTAAGGCAATCACATTATGAAACAGAAAGAGTTCAGAATTAAGACTACTTATCTTTATACACAGACTATAAATGTGCATAATGGCTAAATACTCAACATATAAGTTTTTATTTGCAGAAGCTTAGCTTCACTAAAAGAAAAACAGTGCAGGGAAAGAGAGGAGTTATCCTCATCTGTACACATACAACTAATTCCCCAGTAGGACGTATAGATGTAAAACACATATCAGACCATCAAGTTAAGTAGAGCACACTTTGTGCTAAGACATTACATATTATTAGAGGAAACACAAACAACTTCTCATCCCCCTCTTAGAAAATAGTCTCCTGCAGCCCAGATCACAGTAAAAACAGTATAATATAATCCACAAGCAGAAGAATAAAATAAAACAGGTTCTAAACTTTTTAAAAGATTAATCAGTTAGAAGGCTTATTTGTTAAATCCTGGTCCCACAGGAATCAATATGCTTGACTTGAACAGGAACAAGATTACATTGTCCAGTGGTTTTAAATAAAGTATCCTAAGTACTGTGAATCTCCAGAAGTCAAACATGTTTGCTTTCCCCTTAATTCTTTCAAAATCATCATTCATTAAAGTTTACAATTAAGGCCATATTATTATTATGTGGCTCAATTATATCCATTTACTCTAGATTCTTTACTACTGGGTGTATGCTCAGCAAGCTGTAAGAGAAAAATAATGGCAATTTTATGCTTTCAGTGGGTTTTGTATAACTCTGTCCAGCACAACTGGCAAGTTTCAGGTTTTCTATGAGGTCCCCAAAGGTTTCAGAAATCCACAGCCTTGCTTAGATGATGCAGAATGGCAGCAATTCTTTAGAAGCCAGCACTACCCCAGAAGCTATAGCTATGGCCCAGCTCAGCTGCAGTGTGCATTGTCAACTCACAGTTTTATTGAGATTTCACAATACTGTTTTTCAGATCTCCACTTTCTTAAAAGATCAGCTCAGGAAATGCTTAAAGGTATGATCTTAGTATATCCTAAAAGTTCATAAAAATAAAAGCAAGTAATAATAAAAGGAATATAGCTTTTTATTTTTTTCCTCCTCTGGTTCTTTAATTTCATGATTTTTTAAGCCGAGCTCATAATGCATAAATGTGTCACCTTAATTTGCTAATGCTGGGACTGGTAAAATTGTTTCCTGGAGCTCTGAGCAAATGCACGCTGAGAAAGAGCTTAGGAAAGCATGCAGTCAGGGATTTTTTTATAATTTTAAATTTTTTTTTAAACATGGAGCTAGCTTCACTACATGAGAGAGAGCAAAAGCAGCAATTGTCTTACTGTTTGTTGTCTCATATCTCTACGATGGCTTTAGGGAGGCTGCTGCTGCCAATACAGAGCAGTGAACAGTGGCTGCATAGACTGTAGCAAAGCTGGTTCTTATGCAGGAGGACGAGTACATATCTCCATTCCCATTCCATGTTTAGCACTGTACTAACCCAGAGCACAACAGCACATCTTCACGTATTTCATCTGAGCCACTACTGCAACCATTTAGGCTTCATGTTTGTACACTGAAGAATTAAGAGTTACATAAAAGCTAAATGCTCTTAAAATCAGACTCACAAAAACCTCAGAACTCATGTGGAATGCAAATTCCAAATTAGATCCCTCTTAAAGAGCAGAGTAATAAAACCAGCCATCACAAATTTAGCACTTCTTTCTCTTTTATATTCTGCTCAGTATGGCTTTCAGTACGTAGGTGTGTATAACAACCCACTGCCATACTTGGCCTCTTGCGTATCTATCCTGTTTACACATTGCTAAATCTCTTTTATTGCTGCTGACAACATGTTGTTTCATACCTTTATATTTGTACTTATATTGGTTTTACTGTTGGGTTATCATTGTGGTGCTGAATTACACTGAAGAAAACCCATATCTGTTTATCTGATAGGGTTTGGCTCACACAAACATTTTCATGATCATAGTCTTTTTTGTACCATTTATTTAATATGCATTTATACACAGATACATGGTTATTCTGTACCAAACATAATAGAACATAATAATTGCCATCAGTGCTATTATTAGAGAAGGAAAAACTGACAATTTCTGGCAAAAGCAAGAGATGACACAGCCAATACAAATTATTTATCCCAGTTGTTCTCCATACTGAGTCCTTGAGGTTTAAGGATGAGTTAAGTGCCGAGCAACTAACAGATAGTCCACATTACCATTCCTTTCTTATTTTTATTTACATGAAGAATTGGGCCCACACCAAGAAACATTTCTTATCCCTCTTAACAAGAAGATCCTCATTTATCACCAATTGTCAATTCATACAGATCTCTCCATCCAATCCTAATCATTAGCCAGTCTCAAGAAGACTGACTGCTCTACACTACATAGGGAGAGTCAAAATATATGAAAACTGCTAGCAACTCTTATTCACATAACTATGCAGCCAAAGGTTATAAAATGCCTTTGTTCTGACAGCTACAGGGAAATGTAATGTAAAAGTAGCACAAATTCAGGGAACTAATCTTCTGTTTGGAAATTTGGGAAAAACTCAGAATTGGCATCTACAGCTTTTTACCAGGGACAGAAAACCAGGGCAATACAGAGGCAAGGAGATGCAGATCAGTCAAGTCCCATCTACTGAATGTGAGATTCATGCACCTGACTGCCTGAAAATCCCTGTATGTAGACCTTTATGAAATGCATTTGCTAACCAGTGCAGAGGCTTCCCGTGTGCCTGCATGTACCAGATCAGCTATGCCTGGCATGTGGGGTCATGCAGCAGAAGGCAGAAGCTAGAGGCTTGAAGTAAAAAAAAAACAAAACACTCATCCAGTGTCACAGGTGTCTCTCTAGGATATACTTCATCCCATACCAAATTTCTCAAATGCTAGACAAGGAGGGTTAATTTGAAAGCCCTAGGGGTATTGCAGTACTCAAGTCAGGGGCAGTCAGTAACAAGACAGAGGAGACTGCCAAAGTGGGATTTTGGGTATTACAGTGGGAAGGTAACTGAAAGCTCGAGAAAGAGCTTTTAAAGTATGTGGAATAGAGATAGTCCATTTACTTCATATCTACTTGGCAGGTAGCACAAGGAAGCTCCCTGTGGCACTACAGCAAAATGGTTTTACATTCCTGGATATGATAGCAGTGTGAGGCCATAGCAGTAGTTGCTGAAGGGTAGAGAGGAAAAATGAAGGGTAATGAATCTGAATTAAGATGAATAGAGCAGTGGACAATTAGCTAGTTTGTCAAAGGAACAAACAATCATTAAAGGAAGACTTTCACAATGTAAAACCATTTGTATAAATGCCGTAAAGGCAACATCAATTTTGCAAGACTGCAGTTGAGCTTGATCTTACTCTTAACAGCGCTGATTTGCAAAACCTCAGCACAATAATCAGTTATTTCCCACATTCAGAGGGAATGCAGCACTACCTCTTTGATTAAACTTCATTCTTAATATTTCATTTGCTGTAAAAAAAAAAAAGTCTCCTGAATCATTAGACTACTTTGATGGGACAATTTTTTTCTTCTGTTTGAAATATTTCCTACTGCAATAAACTGCTGAATGTAAATGCTAAAATACAGATTTTCAGAGAGCTAAAGAGATATTTTTAGGTTTTCAATTATTAAGACAAGATGGCATCATTTTGTATCTAAGTCTGAATTTTAATGAGCAGCTCTATTGATAATCACTGAATATCTATATTTATAGAAAAATTGAATATCATAAATACAGGATTGTGCCATTATCTACATATGTTGCATTTCTCCATACATACAGAAATCAGAGTTTAATTTCTATAGCAATGGATATACAGCAATTTACACCAGAACTATTAGCCAGAATGTAAAATTAGATCTAAGTCAGTGCAGTGGCTCAGTTTTTGAAAGTTGGATCTAGCTAAATTTTTCTTGTGTATGCTTTCATTTCTGCCTCACTGGAAGAAAAGAAGCACAATCCTGTGCTCACTTGTAAGGTCATTATAGAAGGTTCTTAAGACTTTTAATGCCATTTACTGTGGCGCAGCAGTACTTATGACCTAGGTCTTAAACACCACTGAAATGCACAGCAGTAAATCAGGAAAGCAGAGTAAAAATTTGATAGAAATTTTGTTCATAACAGTTTTGTTTCTAAAGGTAATCTTGGTGTTTGATAAGAATTAGTAAAAATAATGAATGGAAAAAAGACTAGAAACCAACATTTTTGTTTCCTTCTCCATAGCAAAAAATACCCTCAGTACTTTTAATTGTGGGTTTGAAAACTACCCTGGTTTCTCAAAGTAAATATACTATAGATACTCTTATGAGATGGTATCTCTCTAAATTTGATGATTCTATAACTAAGTTGAGAATATGGGTTACATATTCAGAATAAAGTTTTACATAGTAATATATGAATTTTGAAAATAGAAGTTGATGTGCAAATTCTTAATCCATTTACTTAGCACTGCCCATTTTGGCACGCACTTTAAAAAGCAGAAAATATATCAATTATGCAGTATATCTTCAGATCTTAACAGTGTAAATGTGCACAAATAAGCATATAAGAATAAAGCATTATGGACACAGCTAAAAGTGTTGGAAGTTTGCTTTCTAAACATGTTTCTATAAGCATAAGTACACTGAGATTCTTATATGAAACATAAATACATACCATTGGTTATTCACATTCTTTCATAACTAACATAACTGCATAGGCAGAAAATACTGTGTTATAAACTACAGTTATACGCTATCTACAGCACAAGCAATAGAGTGGAATGTAAAACCAAGAAAAATTAACCACCTTTTTCTCAAAACATGTGTTAATAAAATAATTTAAAGAACCTTGCAAAAACCTGACTCTTTTTCCAAACATATACACAAAG